CGCACGCGTTACCTGCGGGAACGGGGAGGCTGAATTTAAATTTGCGGGGTGACGAGGGGAGTGGGGAAGGGGAGGGGGAAACGAGGGGGGATGTAGGCATAAATTTGACCCACGTAACTCTTCCCGTCACTGAGTTCACCGGGGCTCTGTGTTGAGTACCGACTCGTACATGCGCCACAGTGGTGTCAGCGCCTCATGGGGCGATATAATGCTGCGTGAATTCTCTTTGTTAGCTGTTCGAATAGTTCGGATGTGGAATGATTTACCTTCGGAACTTGTTCGTGCTCATTCTGGTTGGAAAGTTCGCCAGCACCATTAACAGCCCTGCTTTCTGGCCTCTCCTTTGCCACCATTGTACGTTTTAGAGCTCCACCCCTAACCGCATCTCCTACTATTTGTGTTTACAGCTTAGGGATGACACACAGGCAAGCTTCTTTTACATACAGCTCTTTACATGACTTTTTCACATGCCACTCTGTTTCTGCCCTTTGCCGGTCGATACCGTTCGCTGAATGGGCCGCTGTTCCTGGCCCTTGTTACTATCCTCTTCCATTCCCTTACACATGGCCTTTGAGGCCCGTACTGCCTTTTACTTTCATTCATTCCTTTCGTTCAGTGATTCGTGATCATTCAAAGATGCCTCGGCACCATTCGAACGATTCGCGCTCCGCCCGGACTCATCGTAAAAAAAGAAAAAAGGCAAGTAAGTGCCCTAAATTGGTTAGGTTTTCTGTGGAATTTCGAAAATTTTTGCTTAGAAAAATGCAAAACGTTTTTTTATTTTTGTTTTTAAAGGTCGAAAGAAATCGCCTACTGCTCGAAAAAAAAAAGAAACACACCATACTTCAAGTGGAACTCTGGGTGCTTCCAGTTCTTCTGCGGAAAATAGGCGATGCAAGACGGGCAGGTCGCGCAGCAGTACTTCGTCGAATGCCTCAAATTCAACTTACTCAAGGTTATCATCACAATTCTTATGTTTTTTTTTTTGGAAGAAGGAGATCTGAAAAATTTTTGCCGCTTCTTCGTGCTTCCCAATATTTATAAATAGATAGATAGAAAGGAATGGAAAGATTCGAGTTTAATATTTCATGTGAAATAAGCTAATGCAAGGGGGTTTATTTATAAGTCCTCCATAAGGATTATTATGGATTTACTGGATTTCTCGATGAAAAACAGCCACTGGAGCAAGCTAAATCCCAAACTGAGCCACAGCACAACGAACCACATTTTCGCTCTAAACAAGGAGATGGAGTGCGCCAAGACGTATTAGTCCTCTTTCCCTCTCACTCCTTTTCGTCAATTATAAAAAAAGCTTTTGATAGCTACTTAAGTAGGAG